TCCATCAAAGTTTGATTTGGGGGGCAAATACTGGTTATTACCGAATAAAGTTCTTTCGTCATCTCGAACTAAGTGGGACGGAGAGGGCAATAATTAACTCCCACAAAGAGCCATTTTCCATAAATCTAAGACTTTATTTTTTCCTGTTAAATACGTTTAAAGTCTAATGAACTCTCTGTGTTCGCTGTTAATAACTTTTGCATAATTTAAAAATAAAAAAGAGGTACTATGAGCACTGACTTCACTAAGTAATACCCCGCTTCCATATGATCATAATGACAAAGTCCATGTTTTGCTCTCGTAGACCCGAAAGAACTTTTATCAAAAAAATAAAATATTAAAATGCACAATGGTATTATGTAATAAATAATCTGTGACAGTTAAATTTTATTCAGTGGTATATAGGAAGAGTTGCAGATAAAAAATGGGTACTCTTCAGAATGGCAGAGTCCTTTTTTGTTCGGGGAAACCCGAAACATGTGTCTGATGGCACTATGTAACAAAGATTCTGTGAAAGTCTCGTTAAATTCCATTCGGTTGTAAATGAGGAGGGTGTCTTCTAGCTATTCCCACTTTTTAAAAATCTCAATTCCACCTATTCCCACTTGCAAATAACAATAGATGTTTAGATTTACCTGTATTTTGTACATTTTAAGACAGAAAATAATTAATACATCTATGAGAAAATACGATTTATTTCGGATTTTTGAAATAATAAAAAGATCTTACAAGAAAAAGCAACTTAATACCTAAATTTAAGAACATAGTGAATTATTTGTTTACACAAATTTCCACCTATTCCTACATAAAATCTTACCTTTTTCTACATGATTTTCAAAAAGTGGGAATAGGTAGAATGAACCATGAGGAGTTGCGGATGAGAAATTTTTACCCCAAGCATCACAGACGGACGAACATACAGACATCCAGATCATTATTTACCCTCCCATTTGAAGCTAGGGGTATTAAAAGGGAAATGTGAGTTACCAGTAATTTTTTCCAATTGATTTCACGACTTTTATAAGAGAGATAAACTTGATTTATCCAATATACAACCATGGTTTAGTTCAAGTATAGTGAAACAAAATAGCTTATTTATTCCTTCACTTTTATCAGTTTATGAAGTCAAACGCTTTTAAATTTGATTATTTTTTTTTAAAATGGTTTAATATTCTTGTATTAGGGAGTCATTGGTGTCCGTACAACTGTATGCAGTGCCAAACTCATGTACATATAATATATTATCCTCATTTCAATCAACAACAAAACTGTAAACTCCAAGTTAATGGTAATGAGGCTTGGTATCCAAAAAGTAAAAATAAACAAGTATTCTAGTTTTATAATACTAATGTATGACTTTCTTTTTATGATAAAAGAAGCAGATTTAATTCATATTAATGGAGATATAGAAAAGTATTTGAGGAACCGTGATAAGGGGAAAAAATTATATAAAGTTTTTCTCTCCATAAACGAAGATAATAATGGAGAGGGAACACGTCTTGTGTTAAAAGGAAGTCTTATTGGTTGAAAGGGATGGTCCCTTGTTCTTTAAGAGGTTAACTAAAATCAATGATGTGATTTTATATTGTAAGAAATCTGATGAACTGAAGCTTTTGTTGTGCAGACTTCAAACAGTGCAGCGAATTTCTTGGAAGACTCGAGAGTCGTCAATAGAATAATTTCCGGTGAATATAGAAATGGCATACCCCTCATAATTTCGCTTCTTTAAGATGAAAAATTATGTTATATATTGATATTCTAATTTTTTTTTTAGAATGTGTCGAAATATTACTGAAAAAATGTCAAACGCCCACAAATCTTGAAACAGACTGATAAATTTACATATATATACCGGAAGTTTTACTCAAGTTAATCAAAATCCAGTTTCTAAAAAATGTTTTGTCCGTCGTGTCATGAACCAAATCATGTACATAATAACGTCTTTTTCAAAAATCCTTACGCTAATGATAAGTTTTCAATTGTTTATTTTAACTTCGTTTTATTTTTGTTGCTTTATTTAGCGTTTGTATTATCTCAAAAGCACGTGAACCGAAGGCTCAAGTGAGCTTTTCTGATCAAAATTTGTCCGTTGTCTGTCGTTGTTGTTGTCGTTGTCGTCGTTGTTGTAAACTTTTCACATTTTCGACTTCTTATCAAGTACCACTAGGCCAATTTCAACCAAACTTGTCACAAAGTATCCTTGGGTGAAGGCGATTAAAGTTTGTTCAAATGAAGGGGAGATAATTGGGAAATAATGAAAATTTGGTGGTATGTTTTAAAAATCTTCTTCTCAAGAACCACTGTGCCAGGAAAGATGAAACGTATGGGGAAACACCCTCTGGTAGTGTAGATTCAAATTTGTTCAAATCATGATCCCCGGAAGTAGGGCGGGGCCACAATGGCCGACCAAAATTTCGCATAGAAATATATAGGAAAATTTTTTTAAAATCTTCTTCTCTAGAATAGCAAAGCCATAATTGATCATATTTATATGGAAGCATCCTCAGGTAGTGTAGATTCAAGTTTATTCAAATCATGACCCCGGGGTAGGGCGGGGCCACAATGGCCGACAAAAGTTTTACATAGAAATATATAGGAAAATTCTTTAAAAATCTTCTTCTCAAGAATAGCAAAGCCATGATTGGTCATGGGACTACTTTTGGATTTAAACTTTTCAGTAATAAACCAATTTCTACTTTTTCCTATCCACAGTGCTCAGATGAGCGATGTGACACAGCCTCTTGTTTTAAATCTGACACTATTAACACGACATACATGTTATTATGTCCTAACGGAAGATGAATGAAATGATAATGATTGTAAATGACCTTGGTATAGTAACAATATATTTAAAAAAAAATAAATTTTGGTGTTTTTTTCTTAAATCTATCGGTATTTTTCATGTTCATTTTATTTTCAAGGATGAAGCATTTATAAACTGGTGTCAACTTTATTTTTATATCCCAGTTCACGGAGATTTTTTTGGGTGGCCATAGAAATAGATGGAGTTGGAGTTTAATAAGACTTTTGTGGAACTTTATTGAATTAATCCGTTTATCTTAAGAAAGCTGGGTTCACTGTCAAGTAGTTTCTTGGCTTCATCTGATCAAACGTGTCATGAATGGAGTTGATCTTCTTCTGGAAAGATTCAATGAATAAGCTGATTAGTCCGTACGAATAACAAAAAGTTTAACGCAGTGCCGAAGGCCACACAGGTTCTATACGTACCGCAAGAAAAGGTGACCAAATGGATAGCAACATGCATGTGTTGTATTATTTAATTCTACAAAAGGGCAATACAAAATATATGCCACTGCTCATGCTGAAGTGGTATTCCTTTCAACATTAGGTCTTCATTTGGATTTTCAGACACGAAACATTTTTTCAGGCATATTTTTACATGACTCTTCGCGATCCTGAAAAGGAAATTACCTTCGTTGTAGGAACAACGAAAGATGGGAAAGGAAGATGCAAAAAATCAGAGGTCAGAACTAGATTTCATTAGCCATCACCCGAAAACCACAGTCAGAAATAAAAACACGGAGAGAGGGGGAGAGTGAAAGAAATAAAGAGAGAAACCTAATATTCAAGTATTTGATGTGGATTCCAATTTTTTCCCCAAGAAACCAACTCCGGGCGTTGTCGGCCCACCTGTGTTCTACTACTGTCCATATAAAAGTTCATTGATGTTCATAATGGTATGACAAACTTCCTGTTTCACATTTGAATAGCATTGATTTTACATAAATAACTAATAAAATATATAACTAAACACATTTTTTGAGTAATATCAACATGGGGGTGGAAAAAATGTTAAAGCTAACCTGTGATGATCAGATCAGAACAGGCCGTTATAAGGGTTACCTTGGCTGCTGTGTTTAATTAAGCCAGATTTGGCAGATTATCATTGTTCTAGATCATACTGGGAAAAAGTGAAGTTTGTTCTGAAAAGAGGAGATAGTTTAAGACGTTTCAATCAAGGACAGTTTTGATGGCCAAGGACAGAAATTTGCCAACCCTACCGTGATCTAAGCATCAAGAACATTTAATTATTTGAAATATTCATATATAATATATCAAAGAATGACGCGATATTCTGGTCATTGTAGCTCGTCTAGAACAGACATCAAGTTCATAGTATTCATAAACTCAGAACTGATCTAGTCATGAACTTTATATTTGAGTTATGAATTTCGAAGCTGTCGTTTTTTTAAATTCACACTATATTTGTTAGTTAACCGGAAGATGTTTGCATATAAAGATGGCTTCAATATCATGGCTTATCTTTTTGGAAAGATTTTGCTATTCTTGTAAATAAGAAGATTTTTAAAGACTTTCCCAATATATACCCATGTAAAACTTTGTTGCCCATAGTGGCCCAACCTACATTGCATTTGTCATAAAGACAATCTTTGTTAATTGCAATTAAAATGCCCTGTTGTAAAATTATTGGATTTTAATAATGTGCAAATATTTTTTATTTTCATTTCCTTCAATCAAAATAAAGGTCTTGCATCATCACATACTTAATGATATATGTGTTTCACCATTTCTCTTCCTTCTGTGTTTGTTGAGACAGAACTGTAACGGATCCTATTTCACCAGAACTTTCGATGTTTCCTGCTTGTTTTTTTCCCTACTGAAAACACAGAATGAGAAAATATATTCATACATTCATCAATTAATGATGTATGTTGTAAAACAAACTGATCATTACTTCAATTTCAATAACATTTTAAAAAAATAAATTCAATTCACAATGGGTTTTTTTTAAAGTGTCATCTCAAATAATTGGTTCTGCATAGAAAAAGTTTGCAGTTCCGACAATTTAAAAGAAAATATGGGGAAAAACAACTATCACAGCAATCCCTATATATTAATCCATAGAATAACAATATGCTTAACCCTTTACATAAAGATCACTCTCGTATTTAACGCGTGCATCATCGCTAATAAGCCAACCAATGATTTAGCGCGCTTGAAATCCTACGCTATTCTTGAGGTTATTAAAATCAAAATGACGGCGATTTTCAACAGAGGCCAAAGAACTTACAATTTCGAGAGGGGAAAAGGGCTGTAAGATGAGATATTTTATTTCCTATATAACAGGGATTTTATTGGTGCCGGTAGTGTCTTCAACTGCAATCGCTTCCAATTCTAACGACTCCTTGGTGCTTCTTACTAAAACGCTAGATGCTATAGAGTTTGCACTCAACTATTTTCACCAGGAGCACCCTAACCTCAATCTAGATGCCGTTATTGGAACACGAATGGTGGAGGGTAAGTTCATTCTTTGTTTTAATCCATTCCAAACCATAATATTTTGTAAGATGTTTTATTTTTAAAATTCAGTTTAAGATTAACACATCTTTGTAAGTGTTGATTTGTAAGGAGTAAATGGTGTAAATCTATCTATATTTTGGTTTCAGATTAGGTTAGGAAATTAGTTAAAACGAAGTAAATCTACAAGTATAAAATTCCTTTAGATCTTCAATTGCAACCTAGTAAGTTGTTCAATATGCTTTAAGTGAGATTTTTACCAAATTGCTAAAACGCCCCTCACTTACTTAAATGGGCCCATTAAGCTGATGAATTTATTTGGTGGAGCCGTGGACAAAGAAAAAAGAATCGATGATCACAAACAAAATATTTAATTAAAACAGAAATTGTTGAATACTGTAATTTACCTCAAGAATCTTTTGTTTTTTGCGTTCGAAAGAGATTATTCCCCTAAGTCAATTGAGATTCAATTCTAAAAATATATACATGTAAATACATATGCATATATTTTTAAAAAAAATTATTCCTTTCGTTTTCAATACTTGTTGATTTACCTTTGGAAAAACCTAATTATCATGAGCAGATATCAGTATTAAATTGAACATCTCTTTTGTCATATTACTGCTATGATAAAAAGTTTAAATTTTCTTTGTCTCTATATTATGTAAGTTATTATCCTTCTAAAGTTACTGTGATTAACTTTTCGGGAAAGGCAAGTTTATTAAATGTACAAAAGTCAAAGAACTACACTTCTTTGCCGTCACTTCTGTGCCTTCAGTATAAGACCGCGAAACTAATCGGTGGAAAACTTACCTGATGTTTTACTATAAAGTTAAATGAAGCAATGCATTTACAAAGGATGACTGGAAAATAAGTGTAAAAATTGTACCGCATATTAGAATGGTTTAAGGGGGCCGACTACAGTTTTATTGTGTGAAAACTACAATAGCGAAACTTTTCATTTTTATACCATATATAACTTACATTAACTTCAGTGTACATGCAAAGTTTGGTTGAAATCTATCGTCCAGGTATTTTTGAGGGACCGTCTCAAAATGCAGGTACATTTACTATAGGATTATATAGGAAAATGCCAATTTTTAGCACTTTAAAGCAAATTGTACAAATACTACAATAGACATTTTGTTCAAACTATAATATTTGATGAGTAATACTATATTGTACATTATATGTAAGACATACAAAATTCTACCGTTTTGTTACCAGAGGGAGCATCTCAAAATGCAAAAAATAAGCAAATTTTACTATTTTTATAGAATATTACAAAATATGACGTACACAATGGATTCACATGAAAACATAATAAAAATATTGGAGATATTCTCAAATTTCTATGTTTTAAATTTCAAGAACGAATGTTTATTACTTTTTCTTTAATAATATTTTTATTACCCCTTTCTTTAAGAGGTACAGATTATCATAACGTCAAAAACACACTGCAACGACGTCAACCTACCTATCAATTGCAAAATCGGTTAAGAAATCAGTTAATATATCAAATTGTAATTACATTTTCATACCTATAATTTCTTAATTTTGTTTAATTTTAATAATTAAGCGAAAAAAGTTGCATTAAAACAGTAAATACACTTCATTTTACTATGATGCGCGAAATATTGCGCGATGGAAAATATAGTCGGCCCCCTTAAATATGAATATCATTTACTGAACAAATGATCACAGCATCTAAATGGTAAATGTGGGCTTTAATTTATATTTAGAAGAAAGACGTTTGCATATTGAAGAATAAGGTCCTATTGACATTTTTTTTATTCAAAATTCAGAAAAAGTATAAAAACACAAATTTTCACCCATAGATTGAATTATAAAAATTTCAAGTAAACAATAAAGCAAAATTATGCATTTTTCATTTTTGTATCTCAAACAGGACAATTTAAAGTTCTCCTCAAAAAGTTAAATTCTCGACCCCAAAATGATGCGAAGAGAATTTGGAACCCAACGATTGCGAGGATTGAGAGATTGCAGAAGGTGGCTGGACTGGTCAGTGAAGAAGCGCTGCCCTACATAGCGGCATTTACTCCACAATATTATAACGGTATGCCTAGAACTTATAGGGACATGAAAACAGGTTTAACAGAATTTTGAAAACCAATTTTAATGTTTACAATCATCATCTAATGATTAACAAAAATTTGAACAACATTTGTTGATTAACAAACGAGATACAGAACTTTGTATCAAGTTCTTCATAACGTAAACAAGGCTCGTGTCTTGTTTTTGTTTGCTTATAACAAATTTCATATTTATAACAAAATGATTCGAAATTCAACAAATCACTAGAAACTGTCGAAACGTATTTAGAATAATGTTTTTTTTTAAATTATCTGCTTTGAACGAACATATATCAGTATATTAATCTATGTAAATATAATCATGACACGGATGCTGTTCGCATAACAAAGTTTTGGAGTTCTAAATCTGTCTTGCATTTCGACAAATGAGTGAAATGACGTTCAAATTTTTGAAGTTCATTAGAAAGACCTTAGTTAAATATTTATAAAAATGAAAAAAATATATATAACGATGCTAAAATGGATAAAATAAACTTTTCTTCTTTGCTTATGGACATATTGAATTCTGCTTAATTGTCTCTGTTTTCACAATGATAATAATAAATCTGTTACCCTTTTACCAAATTTGTTACCCCACCATCATGTTGTAAATTTTGAATTTACTAGAGGGAGGTAAATGCAAAAATTTTGCATTTACCTCCTCCTAGTAAATTCAAAATTTACAACATGATACCACTCCTCGGGTTAAGGATTCAGGTCATAGAGAATTTGATGTCGACATCATTGTTAATAATGTTCTAATTCCTTTTTAGAGATAGGGCCAATTATACAAGGAGGATTTTGGGAAATGGACTACCCGAGCCGGGATTTTGATCCCGAAGTAAAAGTTTGGCAATATCGAGAAGGAGAATCCTTAAGGGAACAAAAGTCAGATGATTGTCTGGCAGAATTCTTTGGAACAGGGTTAGTTTGAACAAAACAGATACATGTAGTTTGTGTGGAATCTAATTCTCAAAATGCTAGCCACTGTAGAAAAATCCCATTTGCTCTTATAGAAAGGCAAAACAAAACATATTCGGGGTGGTTAATAAAAAAAAATCCGAAGACAAATTCTTTTATCTACTTGCAACTTGAAAAAGCTCAAATTGTAACTTTAAAGATTACAGCTAGTTGACGCTTTCTCTAGCCATTTCGGCCTTTAATGGCATTTTTAATGGCATTGATGATAATTCTTTGATCAAAACATATTTCTAATGCATTTGAAATCTTGTTAAGTCTATAACCTATTTCAGTCAGAGTATATTTTAGGAACATTATGCATTAGCAGCTTTTGGTGTTTTCAAAGATCAACGTTTTCAAGATTTTAACAAAAAGTTGATTATTTTTTTACTTTTAAGCATGCAGACCCATTACCTTGCTTTGTGATTGGTGAAGTGTTGTGATTTTATGAGCAAAGTTTCTGTTTCCGTTAAGTCAATTAATTTTTATGGTATTGCTTCTTTGTGCTAATGAAATCAGCCTTCGTGGTCATAAAATGAAATCAAGGGATCCGCGATAACAAAATGCGTGTCAATGCTATCCTGTTTGGGCATTCGAGAAACGTTTTGGGATCAGAATAAGGGTTTACCCATAATCCTTTTAAAAATGCTTTCGTCGCCAATTCGTCCCAAAGCCGCAAAACATAAAATCTGGATTCGCTGATTGCTTCCGATAATTGAAGCCATCTACCAATTAAATTGTCGTCAAAATCTATTAAAGTGTCACAAAATAGTTTCCCTGTTTAATTATAAAAGCTTTTAGGTGTCAAATATAACTTTTTCACTTTTTTCTGCATTTTAGAAAGAAATCAAAAGAGCACTGCAGAATATCAGACGAATGTTGGAATTTTATGACGTCACCAGGATACAATTCTTACTCGCTGTCGCACCAAGTCTTTTACCTGGAAATAGGAAGACAGGTAACTTAGAAATAACGTGTTCTTCAAATTCAAAGACGCATGATAACGTGAACATATTAGACTGAAGATTTAAAAGTGCAAAAGTAAAGAGAAAGTGGAAGAATGGTTGTAATTTTATGTTTAAATGTATATATATTTCTTGAATTTGAATTATGAACTTTCATATTGATTTGCGCCAAATGCTTAACATTTTGTTCTGAATGAGAATTAATATTTACAATTTCAGTTTGGTTGCTACGCACAAATGTTGTTGAAAAATTTACTCAAACACCAAAAGCCAATAAACGAATTGCAAGAAGAGTTCTGTAAAAACATGTTGAATGAAGCAGTTATCATTGCGAAAAACGGGTTTCCACAACGAAAACAAGATCTTTTTATGGAACAAGGTAGTATTGCAGACTTGATAAATTGATCCCAAAGAAAAAGAAAGGGGTATTGCACTTTTACAGCAGCTGTTACCAGATGTAGTTTCTATAAATCATCGGTCCAAGATTAATAAGGCGCACTTTATGCAAGAAAGTACTTTTAAGGCTACAACTATTACTTTTTTCGAAGTAGAGGGGGCATGCACTGAAAATGAATGAAACAAGAGTTTTAGGGTGCATAGGATAAGTTACCTTCATGACCAATAAACCCCAGGATGAATAAGCATTATAAAATAACAGTTGTGTGACCAAATAATTATGGGTACTATGCTTATTTTAAGTCTAATTTTGAAAACAAACATATTTTTACTTCTCATGCAACGTATATTTCTCATGTTATACTTAAGTATTACTAGTATTGCTTATAGCAATATTTTTCTCAGCCAGTGCTCATGACGATCATAAGCTGATTTTAATACTGGGGTTCAACATAAGATATCATTTCATTTGGATGTTTTGCAGCTGCCTTGTGTGGTATCCTTGGATACAGAGAATTCTTCACCTCTGATTGGCTGAGTCCAATCCTCAGTTGGCAGGATGAACTCTACGGATGTTACAGAGGAGAACTAGTTTTCGAGTCCGAAGTCAGTAAGTGGACTAAAAATGCCCTTTAAATGAATAAAGTACACAGATTTTAGGAAGGGATATACAAAGTACTAGTATATGACCTTATTTTAATGAGTCTGAAATATAAACCACCGGCAAATAAGAAGAGAATTAATGAGGCATGTATTGAGTTAGAAAAATTGGTTGTACTTTTATTGTAGAGGCCATAAAAACCCAAGATATCCAAGGATGTCCCGAGTGTGTCTGCCTGTTTTATACACCATAGTTTGTAATTATGTTTTCCAATAAAAATCATATGTTTCATCTACAATCCTACAATTTTTCAAATGAACAACCCCCACCAAAAGTAAATCGAATAATGTCAAAACCTTCTCAGACCTCCAGGAAGCTACCGGTATTTTCGAAAAAAAAAATCCGGCATTTTTTCATCCCGTCAACATCTATTTTAAGCTTACATATATGTTGTAGTAATTTTTTCAGTTTGGATGCTACGCATAAATGTTGTGGGCAATCATGCAACCGTTATTTCAAAGATGGTTTCATGTAGCCCATTTTGGATAAAAAGTAAAAATTGTGCTGTCTTTCTGATTTTTGGAGTCCTTGCCCTCTCTCTCAATCAATTGACCGTGCGCTGCCTCAAAGAAAAATTCAACTTTTGAATTAATACTTTCATTTGATGACCTGGGTGGATAAATTTAATTTGTCAATAAATCTGCTCAAGTCCGTAAATAGATGTATCACAAGTAACATCGCTCGTTCATCCATGGAAAAAAAAATCCTAAAAATCTGTCTCTGTGATTGTCAAAGATGTCGATTTTCATTAAGATTTCTAACGTGCTATTTCAGATTTGAACGATCCCTTAATGGATTTGATGCGTATTTAGCTCTATAAAGAAACCCTCCTTAATGAAGTCACAAAGAAAATAAGTTCTATGATTTCAGGGCTTAACGTGGGTCCTCAATCAACAATAATAACAGTCTACATGTTGACGTTCAGAGGAAAATGCATTAATAATTTGGCACGCAATCTGTTATTATACCAATTTCACGTCTAAAACTTTAATTAAAAATACCCATTTTCGACATGAGTTGTTTTCATTTTTGATTTAGGAATTTGAAAAGACATATAATCAAATAAATTTGATGTGCTAAAGGAAGCGCTGGTTTAAAGTTGTTAAAATATTAAATCAAATTTGAATTCTCTCGATGAGAATAAACTGGCGTAGTAGAAGTAACTGGTACATTACAAATGACTTTCTTCGTTCTTTTGAAGTAGTTAAGTGTGCAAAATAATGTTACAGTCATGTAAGTGGTGCTGACATCACCAAAATTGACATGTTGAAATTTGGCCCTTATTCTTAACGCATTCCAGTTCGATTTGTTGACCAGGCTGACCACACTTTACATTAGATAGTCCCTTTCCCCCGTAATTATTCTTGACAATGGTATTCCACCTGGGGAGGAATTAGCATCGATGCCCTAGTTATGAACCCTCAAATCTTGAAATTTGATAAAGAAATTAGAATAAAATCCTTGCTGCTTCGTACAGGTCCACCCTGGGAAATGCATGCTTTCTTTGCAGTGACATATTCTTACAGTGCCCTATCTGTGGAAAGTCATTGCTACTCTATAGTCAAGATGCTTTGACTTGTAACATATATCGGGCTGTTTGATAACATGTTGGAAGATTTGGTTTATTCCCATAGCATCCATGAATAAATAATAACGGGAAATATATATTTTGTCTAGATCGACATCGCTTTGTGTGGACATGTACATGAAATCCTTTTATAAATTATAAGTGATTTCTTTTGTAAATTGATGAATAAAGGAACATGTAGTGAAAAGTAATATTTTTACTGAAAAATATTTTTAGAATATAAAAATTTTCTCTATAAAAACATAAAAAAAACAAAAAACAAATACACTCAACTTTACAATTTCAAAAAATTAAATTAAATTAACTTTTAAAGGAATTTATTACTCAAAATTGAACAGTCCAGTAGCTTCAGTTTTCTCATTTTTTTTATCATGATTAAATCATAGGCGCTCCCCATGTAATTCTGTAAATGACGTATGATAAGTATATATAGGTCTACCCCTCTATACTATAAAATATCCAAGGCCTGCAACTGGGCGCCATTGTGGATTTCGCCTGGGACCTCTGACTGACTTACTTTAAGGGTTTCTGGGGTATACTGGGCTGGTTATCAGCATCGGGTACTGTAATTTATTGAAATAAAATATTTGCAAACTTTTATCCAGCTCCATTCCGTTGCTTTCTCTTGTTTTCAAACATTTCTCTATTACACCGTCACACTTAGCTGATCTCGGCCGGAAGAAGTCGATTTCGTCGATTTTCAACAACTCGTACGAAAACTAGAGGTACTGTGAGCACTGAGCTCACTAAATGATACCCCCCGCCTCCCATAATGTCGATGTGTTGCTTTATATTGTTTTATGGTAATGTGTAAAGAGGAATAACTCGTCCCGTCAAATGTTATCCAGAAGCTTCTATTATGTGACGTCATAGGTAAACAAAAAATGGCAATGTCCATGTTTTGCTCTGGGAAACCTAAAATACGTGTTGAATAAAAAAGTAAAATCAGGGGCGTAGCTTGAACTAAAGTTCTAGTGAGGCAAATGTATTGTAGCCGGGGGTCTGGGGGCCGCCTTAGGCCCCCAGCAGGTCCAGGGCAGAGCCTTGGTGGGGGTTCAGGGGGGGTTCAACGGAAATTGAATTTGTTAGTTTTAGAATGTAAAAATGGCACTCGTCCTGGCCAGAAATTTCGTAATTTTTCTGGTTTTATGATTTTCAGAATTCATATGATTCTAAATGTAAATACTAATTCAAAGTACTTATTTGTTTATTCGTTTTTTGAATTATTTAAATATATTTGAATTTTGGCATCATTTGGAAAGACAATAAAGTTATTTACTAGTTAACAGGGATTGGGAAATACTTGATGCCGATTTTAGACTTCCTTTTCCATAGAAAGGGTGTCAACTTTGCCTGCCCCTTGTTGTTGTGGTCCATATATTATTTGTCAAAAAAAAAGAAAAACTTTAGAATTTAGAAAAGTTTTTAGAATAATTTAGAACTATAGAGTCCTAGAGAATTTTGACCCAGAACTAGTACAATAATTTATAGATTTATTTAAATGATAAATAAAGCAATTAGGTTTTAAAAAATAAATTAGATATTTTCTGCGATGAATAATTAATTAATTATGGGAAGGGAGATGTTGCTGAAAATTCTAGTGAGGCAGTTGCCTCATTGCCACAATGGAAGCTACGCCCCTGAGTAAAATAGGAGGTGCACAATGGCAATATGTAATGAAGATTTTGTGAAAGTTTCATTCAATTTCACTCAGTAGTATAAGAGGAGTTGCGGATAAGAGAAAAAGCGTAACAGACGGACGGACGGACAGACGGACGGACGGACGGAAATCCCGATCACTATATACCCTCCCGCTTTTCAAGCGGGGGGTATAATAACTTTCGGAAGTTTGACAATATTTAGTGGGGAAAGTACATAGGCGCTTGGTTTCAGGATGGTGTATGTTATGTATTATGTGTTTTTTGGTTTGTCTGAATACCCTCATTAAATAAAAATGAAAACTCGCTGAAATTAGCACGTTTTAAAAATGTCATATGTACAGTATATATACTATATATACTCTCATAGGCACGTACATGTAGCATCGTTTTTGAAAGTGAGGGGGGGGGGCTGCTAGAGAGAAACATTTTTTTTTCACTTACCTGTAAAAGTTGACGAGCCGAAAAAAAAAACCGCTCAAACACGGAAATCCTATTTCGGGGGGGGGGGTAGTGGCCAATTTTTTTCAAAGCCAACTTCCTTTCACTTTCATTTTTTTCCCATAAAATAGTACATTTTCCTTCATATCGCAATACTATGGTAATAAGTGTGTGTGTGTGTGGGGGGGCAACCTACCTTTCAATGCACATTTTCAACAGTAAAGGTAATGTTGGGAAAAAAGTAGGGGCTGGCAACCCCCCTCCCCCCCTTGTTGCTACGTGCCTGTCTAGCTCATACGGACTTGTGTAGAGAAAATAAATCAGTTAGAAAAATCAGTACCTCTTTCCGAGATAATATTTTTTTATTTTCTCAAAGAGTATCACAGGGGCTTGTGTACAGAAACAAAAAAATGTACCCCAGAGAGAAAAAAAAACTCCGAGGAATATGACATTTTTAAAACGTGCTAATTTCAGCGAGTTTTCATTTTTATTTAATGAGGGTATTCAGACAAACCAAAAAACACATAATACACAACATACACCATCCTGAAACCAAGCGCCTATGTACTTTCCCCACTAAATATTGTCAAACTTCCGAAAGTTATTTTCGTACGAGTTGTTGAAAATCGACGAAATCGACTTCTTCCGGCCGAGATCCAATCGGCAATCCTCGGCTGACTCCGCTACGCTCCATTCAAACGTTATGTGCGAGGTACGAGTCATCCGAGGAACTCCGATTGGCCGAGATCAGCTAAGTGTGACGGTGTAATAGAGAAATGTTTGAAAACAAGAGAAAGCAACGGAATGGTGCTGGATAAAAGTTTGCAAATATTTTATTTCAATAAATTACAGTACCCGATGCTGATAACCAGCCCAGTATACCCCAGAAACCCTTAAAGTAAGTCAGTCAGAGGTCCCAGGCGAAATCCACAATGGCGCCCAGTTGCAGGCCTTGGATATTTTATAGTATAGAGGGGTAGACCTATATATACTTATCATACGTCATTTACAGAATTACATGGGGAGCGCCTATGGATTAAATCATACTACCTTTTTTCAAAAGATTTGTCGACACTTCCTGTTTTCTGATTTGCGAAACAAAAAACTCCGACACGTTGTGTGTTTTTCTACGTAATTTTTATACGCCCGTCTTAAGACGGGACGTATTATGTTATAGGCTTCATGTCCGTCTGTCTGTCCGTCCGTCCGTCTGTTAGCTTTTCTCGTGTCCGGCTCATAACTTGAGTACTATAAGGCCTAGA